GATATAGAGAGACAGATATAGAGAGACAGATATAGAGAGACAGATATAGAGAGACAGATATAGAGAGACAGATATAGAGAGACAGATATAGAGAGACAGATATAGAGAGACAGATATAGAGAGACAGATATAGAGAGACAGATATAGAGAGACAGATATAGAGAGACAGATATAGAGAGACAGATATAGAGAGACAGATATAGAGAGACAGATATAGAGAGACAGATATAGAGAGACAGATATAGAGAGACAGATATAGAGAGACAGATATAGAGAGACAGATATAGAGAGACAGATATAGAGAGACAGATATAGAGAGACAGATATAGAGAGACAGATATAGAGAGACAGATATAGAGAGACAGATATAGAGAGACAGATATAGAGAGACAGATATAGAGAGACAGATATAGAGAGACAGATATAGAGAGACAGATATAGAGAGACAGATATAGAGAGACAGATATAGAGAGACAGATATAGAGAGACAGATATAGAGAGACAGATATAGAGAGACAGATATAGAGAGACAGATATAGAGAGACAGATATAGAGAGACAGATATAGATAGACAGATAATATAGATAATATAGATAATATATAATATATAATATATGATACATAATATATAATATATAATATACATAAAAGTATATACAAATATACTCATATATAAACAAATATATATAAACATATATATTATACATATACATACATATATAAATATATATATATATATATATATATATATATATATATATATATATATATATATATATATATATATATACATATATACATATATACATATATACATATATACATATATACATATATACATATATACATATATACATATATACATATATACATATATACATATATATACATATATATACATATATATACATATATATACATATATATACATATATATACATATACATATATACATATACATATACATATACATATACATACATATACATACATATACATACATATACATACATATACATACATATACATACATATACATACATATACATACATATACATACATATACATACATATACATACATATACATACATATACATACATATATATATACATATATATATATATATATTGAGTATTGAGTTTCCAGACACTTAACTAACTGGTTCAGGGTGACATGCATGTAGTACCATTCCAGAAATGTTCATCTTGTCTAGAACAGATATGCCATCAATATCACAGTCTACTCACAGCTTATAGTCCTTCTGCCATACAGACTTTGCTCAAAGTGATCGAATGCTTCTACAGGAATATTTTACGAATATATCATCTACAAAATAGCAATAAGGCACTACAGCTTAATCGGACATAATCTACTTGCATGCTTGCATGTAAACAGGCATGCAAGTTGCCTCCATGTTTGCACACATTGTTTAGATGATGCAGAGGCATTGAGTTAATTAAGAAATTAAAAGAACTGAATGTCAGCTTCTTCATCTTCTTATTCATTTGAAACCATATACTATAATATAAGTGAAAATCTTGCAAAGAAATTATTTGAATACTGTTTATCAAGCCCATGTTTCCTAGCGCTGAATGTAATCCATAACAAATCTTCCCCAAATCCCACCTCCTTCTATCCAAAGGCTCTTCCTGCTCCCTCTGAACCCATCACTCCCCCCCCCCCCATCGCCATCCCTTTTATCCTACCTCGGCCTAATGACGGTGAAGGGGAGGTGCGGTGCGGCTGCGGCCAGGTGCAGGGCCAGAGACGTTAGGGAGAGGGCCAAGCACAGAAGACCCAGGCCAAGCCAGGCAACCCACGCACAGCCCAGGCGACGCTGCTTCATCTGTTCCCATGGAGAGCAGGCCGAAATCAGGTACACCTGATGGCATGAAAGGAGAGGGAGAAATTAGGAGAGAGAGAAGGGGAGAATTAGGAGAGAGAGTGGAGGTGGCACCAACAGAGGGATGAGTGATAAGGATTTGGGAGTGGGGGCAGGGAGAGAAGAGGGAGGGGGAGTTTTGATGAGAAAAATCGGTGGGAGTGTTCTGGGGGGCAATGGCAAGGTTATGGGAGTGACGAGGTAAGTAGGCAATGAGCAGAGAAGAATATTACATACAGAATGCTTGGTGATTTTTAGGTTTATATGCTACTAAGACCTATATCTAATAGAAAATGTTGGAAATATTATAATATTTTATGAGAAAGAGAAAGAGAAATGGAAACAAGAAAAAGAAAATGGAGAAGGAAGAGGAGGAGAAGAACAAAAACACTAAAGGAGAAAAAAAAAACATTGAAACCACATAAAGAAGAAAACACACACCCTCTCCAGCAGTGTCTGCAGGTGCTCTGGCTCACCGCACCTGAGCACAAGGCAGGTGACAAGGTAGGCCAGCAGGAACATGAGACTGGGAACCACATACCCGAACACCAGGCTGCCTGAACATGCATCTTTGCCATCACTGTTGTGGCTATTGCTGTAAAAGTCCTCCTTTGATTCTGGAAAGGAGTGATTGCAATGATATACCGTGATGTGTTGGAACGTCTGAAAAAAAATCTACACAACTGAAAAGGCAATCAAGGATCAAATACTTTCACTCTTAATTTTAATCTAACATGATGTCCTTATTTCCACCTCAAGGAACATCTAAAAAAAAGTGTCCAAATTAGAATCACTTGAACTGCAAAATAGCATTTCTAACATCCTGAATGTAAGTGAAATTGACATAATAGTGACTCTTTTGGCTTAGATTTTGTTTAATCAGCATCTCTGAAGAAGCCAAACAACTTAACAATTTCTATAATTTCTACCTTGACTACAACCATAATCTATTACTATAATAATCCACAACTACCCCAACATCTGTCCAGGAATCCACTACCCAACATCTACGTACAAATCCTCAAACCAAAACCAAAATTTACTCAACTGGTTCCTCACCGTCATGGAAACCTCAACCATGAATCTTCATTACGATTCATCCCAAACCTTTTGCATACTCCCTAAATGTTATCTTCCGATACCAGCCATAATCTACCCCTAAATAAAACACTCGCTACCACAAATCTACACTTAATCAAACCAAATTTATCCCAAAATTTAATCTCCGTACATCAGCCATAATCTACCCTTGAACAACCATGCTTTATCATAAATCTATTGTTAGTCACACATTGTACATTCTAAAAGACAATCATCAACCATTATCTACCCTAAACAACCGTTTTACCACATTATCTACTCTAATTCCCCACTTAACCCACCTGGTACGTGCACTGTCCACTGTAGTTTTCTTTAATTTATTTTGTTTCGCACAGATGGCTCCACAAAAGTTTCATCGCCTAGGAGTCCTTTACCCGGCCTGACTGATCTTACCTGCTTACATTTTTAAGAAGAATTTTTTTCTATCAGTATCACTAATGTTATTAACATTAACATTTCAATTATCATAGTAATTACCTTTCTTATAACCTTAAAAACAAAAAGATAAAAGCTTTTCATTCAAAAAATTCAGAGAATAGAGGAATCAGGTAGAACTGGTAACTGACTAATTGGTGTTAGTCATCAAGGAATCAGTCACCAGTTCTGTGAGTCCTGATCTTGCTTCTGGGTGCGTCAGTGTGTAAACAAGCTCATCAAACCACAACCACAGTGGACAGTGCCAGCACCAGTGGGTTAGTCTCCCCCCAACAAATACTCATCTACCCCGAATCACCGCCAGTATCCAGGCTGCTGAGCCCCGAACCACGGCTGACCCAACTGCGCATTTTCCTTATAAATCGTCAGTGAGATGGTATAATCCTGACGACAAACATAATTGTTAACCTACAAATAAATAGATTAATAAACAAATAAGGCCAACCAATTAAGTAACCTCTTCCCTTAGACAAAGAGACTGATACTTATGTTTATGGGGACTTGGATAATCATTGTGAAATCACCACATCAAAACTCAATTATGTATGTAATAACAGGTTAAATATGACATTGAATAAAATTCATATTGAATTCAAAGGATGGAAGAGCATAGAGGATAATGAGAATATAAAGAAAATATAAGCATATAATAACTATATCACAAGTATAAAGAAAAAAGTAAGAATAGCATAATAAATATAAAGTACAGAATTAGCATATAGAAAAAGTATGACAGAGGAAGGAGAGTAGAATCAAGATTATTAAAATCAATAAAAGCTAGATATATGGAAGGCAAGATGAATACAGATTAACATCAAGAAAATGGACAAGCCTGGAGTTCCCAGTCACCAAGTTCCTTTACAGGTAAATAATAGACAGTGTAAAAACAATAAATCATATACACATATGTATAACGTATCAGCTGATTAGAATAAAAAAGACAGCAAATCCTAATACCCAGGAGTCCAGTGAGCTGTCCAGTTTGTTCTTCTGTGGGACTGGACATATTATACTGCATGCCAACTTACCTGAAATGGTTGCATTCAGATGGTTCATAGGCTCGGTGCTTACGCCTCTGTCCCTTCTGATAAGATGAAAAAAAAAAAGAAAGAGTTATTTGTAAAAAGGAAATCAGTACAGAAGGAAGTTGTTGGACAGGTCAAGAAATCAGTAAATGTAAATACATATAAACAAAAAATCTACTATATTCAATCATCAAAAATGCAATCCTTCACTGGTCCATCTCATTATCTGCCACCTACTGAGACCCTCTCCAACCAGGCATGCAGACACCATAGCTTACCTGACACTGGAAAGAACTGAAAAACACTAAAAATATGATCAACCTGCAATGAAACTCTTCTTCAAAGCATATACTCATCCATCAGCACCAACCACCCCTCACCACCTCCCCCCCCTTGCACCAATCCCACCCTCAAATGCAACACTGGTTTTTCCTCACAGCTCAATCACTGCCGACACTCCCACTTCCCCCATTTTCCCCTCAACTCCACCGCCACTTTCCGCACTCTTCACTCGACCACTCATACCATCACCCTTTCCAAGCACATCTCTCTTT